AAATTACGAACTAACCCAAAACTGGCCTTCGTCGTTAGTGGAATACTATAGGACACACCCGACTTTCAAGGCGTTTGATGGTGTCTATAGTTTCGGCTACCTGCGTAGTTCGCTGATAGAAGATGTGAGGTACTCAGAATCAGCCTACATGTGTGCAAGACCTCTCCGCCAAGTCATATACAGCGTTCTCAGCCAATTGGCAGGAGATGATAAACGTGGCCTACGTGGTCTTCAGGGCGACAGTAAAAATCCCTACGTTCAAGAAGTTCTGCGCGACAAACACATGGGATTGGCAGTGACTAAGGTAATTCTCCTCAAGGCTGATCTTGATTCGCCACAACAGATGCTGAAACTGCACCTTGGTCTACAACGGAAACAATCTGGTTTGCCAAATTCCCTGCATTCACTGGTCGGTGCCGCCTTCATTGTGCTGACTGCAGACCAACGCAAAGGCCAACACTCAGAAGGGCAACGCTCCCCCTCGTCGGTTGCTTCGTCGCCATTGGTTCTGGCAGCTCTAGCAGTCAGTACGGCCGCTTTCGTTCTTCACCAACAGGAAACTCCGCAGCAGAAACCAGAGGAGACGTGGAAAGTACTGTCTGATCGTATTCAGCAGCAATTGAGCATGCTGATTCCAGATGACTCATCCTTTATTCGGCTGAACTTCGCCTTCTTGCATACCTACGCCCAATTGCAAATAGCCTACGCGACACTAGTCACGCTTGGAGACGTTCTCACGGCTAACATGCCGTCATCGGCGGAGGATCACGAAGAAGTAGGCTCGCTTGACACAGTCAGTTCCTGTTTTCCATCTGGACGTCGGGTTCATCGGCTGGCTGTCAGACTTGATCATCTCTCCGAAGTGGAACGAGAGAAGGAGGTCTGTGAGGTCATCTTTCCTCGACTGCTAGGAAGAACCTCGATGCGATCTTTCTCACAACTAGTTCTTTCCCGAGCGATTTCAACTTATACAAAGGTCATCAGGTTTTTGGATGGCTATCTCAAGGATCAGAAAAAGGCCTCTGCTTCCACGCTTGTCACTTGATGTGGGAAGGTACACTGGTCTTATATATCCCTCATATAAAAATAAATGATGATAATGCATTATTTTCTTTTTGTCAGTTTTCTTCGAGGTATTTTGTCTACGAAGT